AAGAACGGCGACAAGAAGAGATCTCTCGCTAAAATGCGGCACAAGCACCGCCCGCCAAAAAAGAAAAAAAGAAATAAAAAAAAAAAAAAAAAAAAAAAAAGGAGTGGGGGAAGTCAAAAAGATGTGCCAGAAATAAAAGGAGAGGAGATAAAATATGACAAGGAATACCCGCAACGTTTCAGATAAGTCGGGGGAACAACACACAACACACAAGTATGAAGAACAATAATGGACAAACAAACAAAATGCAAAAAAGAAAAGTATAGGGCTACAAACTGCAGCTTTATCCAAGAACACGAAAGCAGGATGGGTGGAGCAATAGCAGACACACACACACACACAAACAAAAAAAAAAAAAAAAAAAACAGAAAAAAAGGCAAATAAACATACAGCTAATAAAAGTTCGCTTAAATAAGGGGGGCGAGAAATCAAAGTTCCACGTACCTAAACCAAACCGCCTACCTCTCCACGAGGATCTTTACACAATTCACCCACAGCAGCACTCACACTTCCAGACTTCTGTACAAGCTCGCATGCATCCGTGTGACTTAGATCAAACCCCATTCCTAAAATAACATCTGCACCCTCATACACCCACTGTTCCCACTCCCGTTGACCATTCCCCTTATTTTGTTTCTTTTCGCGTAGATAATGCACAATTTCCTCCGGGCTGGGCTCGTTGCCTTCCAAATCCTTCAACAGAGTCTTCGCGGCCAAAATGGCCTCCGTGTTGAACTCATTTCCCGTCAAGGACTGAACTGCTAAAAGCAAGGTATCGGTATTGACGCCATTGCCATCTGTAAACGTGGCGGCACCATGGACATCTTCAATGGCTTCAAACAAGATGGATGATCTGTCCGCGTACGTCTCATCTGAGAGAAGAAGAAGTAACCTTCCACCAAGCTTTACGGCGGTCGAGAAGTGATTATTCCAAAAGAGAACCACAACCTCTCCCTCACTAAGCTCCCGCAGAAGTACCTCTAACCCCTCTTCTGTCAGTTGTGATCTTGTCTTCTCGAGGAACTCATTGGCAATCTCCGACACGTCCGTTTCATTGCGCGTCGCAAGAAGGCTCACTTCATTAAAGGACATGTCACGCAAATCAGCATAGCGATCATCTGATGAAATCAGCCACCCATGAACAACGCGTAGCCCCGCAAGAGCGAATAGAAGCACGTCATCCTCGGCGTCAAACCCATCTAAAACGGAAAAAATAGGGCTTATGTTCATTCCATGGTACAAGCGGTTCAAAAACTTCTCACCTTCTATGCCCTCTGCGAGTTTCTTACGTGCCTCAAAAAGGCTTTTTTGAACAAGGCCGGCCATTGTTGCCACTTTCTCACCATTCATTACTCGCGTAGGGGGACAGACAAATTGTGGCACCTCCGGGTTACCCTCTATGATGTAATTGAGAATCGTACGACGAAGTTCCTTGGCCTCAATTCTACGGCAATCATCGGGGCATAATTTTAACCGCCCCGTCAGTGCCAGCGCGTTGGCTGCAGCTACCACGGGGCAAGGACCGTTTTGATCCTGCGTCACGATACAGACACTACGGCCACAGAAAACATCCTTTTTCACCCGATGCGAGTCAAATGGATCTATCACGACGGGAAGATCTGGTAGCATTTCCAAAAGCCCATCATCAAAGTCCTTTTTTGTAAACGCCGTTGCAACTAAGGCTGTAGCATTCTTATCAAGAAGAACGTACAGCTTATCCGCGTTCACACCGAGGGCCACTGCCTCCCCTTTGGGGGTTCGTAGCCTCTTCTGGTAGACACAATCGAAAGGAGCCGTCGCCTCCGCAGTGATATCCAGCATGCGAGCAACGCCATCGTCACACATAAATTCACACTCCATTCGTTTAGCCGCTCAATTTCGTTTTTATTTTTCTCCTCCCACCACCGACCTTCTTCTACTTTCCCCCCTGAGGCCTGCCCAAAAAGCAAAGCCTCCCCTCCCCACCACCCCGAACACACACACACACACAATTTATTTATGGACTTATTTATTTATATTGCTCTTTTGAGAATTAGTTTTTGCTGTATACAGCTTACCAAATGTGGTCAGTGACGTCAAGAGACCTAACAAGTCAACCACCACCTTCCGAGACCTTGTCCAGCCAGCCAGAACAAGTTTGAAACAATAAAAAAAGAAGAAAAACTGAGAAGTCACCAGCGTCAAAATAAAGAGAAATTACACATCTGTTTTATTTCCTCTAATGATGTTGGCGCTCGTGACCCCTCAGCACAGCTGCGGGTGTGTGGAACGTTTACAGTAACAGAAAAGGCTTAAGATAAATAGAGTGGTAGCAAGTAACTATTAAAGTGATGATGACATACTTTAATAAAAGGAACACCAACACCAGCACACAGCAAATGTATCCGAAATTGATACATGGGATTAAGACCCATTCCGAAGAAAAGTTGAGAATAATGCGTAAAACTTCCGAGAAATCCTCTCGGTATCAATCTTCATTGCTACTCTCTCTCTCTCTCTCCCTCTCTCTCTTTCTGTCTCTATGTGTCTGTGTTTTCCTTTTTATTCATGCATTTCACTACTTACTTTCCTTCTTTTAATAAAAAAAAAAAAAAAAAAACTCATTTGTTCGTCTCCTCCAACATATGCACAACGCGTGCGTGCACACATGTGTGATATGCATATTTGTATTGCCCCATTCGCCCACCCTTTGCGTCACCTTCTGTTCTCTTTGTTTTCTGTTACGTTGCCCGTTCCGCTCGCTCATTTCTTCACTAGCTGTGGCAATGGCCGCACGCCATATGCTCAGCGCACCACATCGTAATCGCCGGAGGGTGTTCCATCGCCAACACCCCTTCTTTTCTTTCCCTCTCCCACAAGCACGCTCTCATTTTTATTTTTGTTTTTATTTTTTTGCTTATTTTCCAAATTTCCGTTTTGGTTATCGTAAACCGCCCATCAACTGATATAAAGGAGGCGGTGACAAAACACACACGCACCAAAAAGAGACAATTCAAGGAAAAAATAATGATATCTTGATCAGGAATAACAGTTAATAGAGGAAGGGGGTATTCGCTCCGTCCTATATATATAAAACGAAATAATTTACATGAAGCATTTGATCCCTTTCGTCATTTTTGCTCCTCGTGTCTTTTTAACCAAAAGCACCCGCGAAATAACTGACTACAGGAACCTAACGTATTGGAAGTTTCTTCTGTAGCAGTCCTGAATGATTCCCCGCGTCACGCAGCCAGGGATGCTGAAGAAGCTCATCGGACGATGGCCGCTTCGTTGTGTCCCGCTGAAAACACATTCTCAGAAAGTCGCGACAAGACTCCGACGTGTCCTCCGGTATTTTCGGAATGCTGTCGGTAGTTCCCACGTAATACATCAACGAGTACACATTTTCAAATTCCTCCTGCCACGGCGGTGTTCCGCCATTGAGCATCTCTACAACCGTGCAGCCAACAGACCATATGTCAGTCTTCGTCCCGTATGGCTCGTTGCGTATGACCTCCGGGGCCATCCAAAATGGAGATCCAATAAGCGTCTCACACCCCGCCCGGCTGCGATCACTTATACCAGGCAGAATTTTAGAGGAGCCAAAATCTGCCAACTTGACAGCCCCAAATCCGTCCACGAGAATATTTTCACCCTTAATATCTCTGTGCACCACCCCTTTCTGGTGCAGGTAGCGAAGCCCAAGCAGCATCTGATACGTGTAGAATTGAATGACAGACTCATTCAACCCGGTAAAATTTCTCACAATGGACGTCAAGCTCCCCGCCACAGCAAACTCCATGAACAGTAAAATATAATCATTATCCGTGCAGCATCCAAAATAACGGATAATATTGGGATGAGAAAGTTTCTTCAGCACACCCACCTCCTTCTGCACCTGGGAAAGGGCATCCTTAACGGAGTTCTGAATGCTGAGATACTTGACCGCCACAAGCCTCCCAGATTTAAGAATACCCAAGTGGACGGTGCCATAGCTTCCCGAACCGAGAGCAGGCCCACAACTAAAATTCTCCATCTCCTCTTGCGTCAGTGGACCATTTTCGCTGTCATTTGCATCGCCAATTGTTACTGGAGATAATGGTGATAAACGTGACGCCAGAATTGCCTCCACATTTAGACCATCACAATGATTTTTTGATGCTTCGGCAAGAGGCAATTTCAGAGAACTTGATTCCTCAATGGGCCCAGTAACATAAAAAACGGCAAGATGACAATACTTCTCGTAGCGATATCGTTTCTGGTTCTCCAGCAACTCAATGCGAAGGCGGGCAACGGCGTTCAATACATTTTCTTTTTCCTCTATGGAGGCACATGCCAAAAACTCATATTGTAACTCCTGTATTCGGCTTTGAATTTGTTGAATCGAGCGTTGTATCGCGTCAATTGCTGCGTTGTTTGTCGTCACGGATTCATCCTTTGCGCCAATGATATCATACCAAAGCATACCAACGAGCATGGCCATCCAAAGAAAGACCACAACGGCGAAATATGTCTCCCCATCATGGCATGTCCTGACAAATCCCAAATACACACGAATCACGTGCAATAGAGTGCACATATGCGAAAAAAACGGCAGAAATGATAAATGAATCACAAGCCTGTTGATATTCCCGTAGGCTGTGGGGGTGGAGTGGAGAAAATAAAGCACCCGAACAGTTTGAAATAGAAGGTTATTGATAATCAGCAATACGGAATCATGGTAAAATACTTTCCACATGGCTATCTTAGCCAGTGATAATGCGTTCATAGCCACCAACACCGATCCCCTACAATGTATATCACATTTTAGGGGTGTGATGAACAAAAAGCCACCCAGTGGTACCATAAAACAAAGCACCAAGAAGGAGAAGAGCGACATAACCAAGTTTCCACGGGCCTCTGCGCATGTAGGAAGTTCACTCAGAAATGTATTGCACGCGAGCGAGTCAATGATGAGGGACCGGATGGGGAGAGAAAATACAAAAAAGAAGAATTTCAATGCGTAGTTCAAACTCGAAATGAGTCTTAAAATTGCGTTTGTCCGCGTTCCACGAAGCGCTCGACGAAGATCTTTTCGATTCATGACTGCCAAAAAAATCTCAATGAACCCCCACAAAAAAATGACCATCATCGTCAATCGCATCGTAACATGAGAGTTGGCCCGATGATGGGGCATAAGCAGATGCATACTGCGAAGGCGTAATGATGACATAAAACCAACTGGTACAAACAATTCCGGGTGGATCGACGCCATCGATGTCTGTAATGTATTGAACACCAGAAGAGCAAGGACGACGTAGTTCATCGTGTGCAATGCAAACTCTGACCGTGAGAGCGTAAGCCGCAGGGGAGGCTCCTTTTCAATTTCTGCAGACCATTGTTTCCATGAGAGTCCATTGAATTTCATAAACGCGTAAAGCATCGTAAAACCCAATAAAACAAACAGTGTCCACGAAACAATCATATCGCGCACCGTTGGTACGCCCGGTGGCGGATCAAAGGGTGCCATATCAAAAAAATACTGAAGCATCATCCGTCCTTGAGCCTCTTCACGTAAAAACTCTTCCGAACATTCAATATTTGGCGGAAGAGCAAACAATAGTCGATTCCTGTCCATTTCCTCACGTTCCAATGCTTTAGTGGAAGAATCTGGCAATGACAGCAGCGGGAAGGGATAACACTCGACACGTGGATTGCTTGCCCATCGCACACCACCACTTGCATAGGGTGCAGTGAAACACGGTGATGTCTGAACAGAGTACAACTTCACCTGGCCGTCGCCTGTGACGTCAAGAGAGCCACTGATCATCGGTCCGAGTGACATGTCCGCCTCCAAAAGCCCTTCCACGTAGGTCAATGAGGCGTTAAGTACCCATTCACGCCGCAAGGAAATTCTTGAGCCGCGGTCAATCGAAAGAATAGATGCCGCTCCCACATAAACAGCACCTTCTCCAGTAAGGACCGCGTTCCTCATGATGATTTCTTCCAATGCAAGTTCCGCCCCATTGCGGAGTAGCGTTTCACCACCCAAAATGAGACTCGCTCTTTGCGGTGGAATTGCGTCCAATGGCAAGCGTATGTCGGCGGCAGCAAGACACGGCAAGAGCACTGCCGCGTCCTCAGGGAGTTTCAAATGCCTCACGGATCCCCCAATTATACCTCCAAGAGGAACTGTCACGCAACCTCGCAGTAAGAAACGACCATCAATCTTAAAGTAGTCAAAAAACGACAGCAGCGTGGCACATTTGATATGAACATCATGTGACGACACAACATCTAACGCCACAAGAGTGGCGTTCTCACGAACAGCAAGAGACACCAAAGAATATTCCTCCCTTTTGCTTACAATATATCTACTACCCTTTCCGTAGATGATTACAATGTTGTTATCCTGAATCCACACGTTACCGGAGAAAACCACTGAATGAACTTCTGCAGTGAGAACCCCCTCAATGACGAGTTGCACCAGACCTGCGTTCGCTACGAAACGTGTCCTACAAAGATTAAGATGAGTCCCTTCGCCAAAATAATTCACACCATAAATTGCAATCAACATGCCTGAAGGATCGGCTAACCCGCCAACAATGTCCGTTGCAACATCGCCCGTAACATTAATTGAATCAAGCAACAAGGATTCCCCTGTAATAATAATACGACTTCGATTTCCTTTTATGGTGGCTGAAACAAACGCGCCGTCCTCTATAAGTTTCAGCTCCGAATTTTCTAGCAGCGCAATCCGGCCTCCGAGCCTCGCATCTGATGCAGAGACTCGAGCTCCACTTTCAAGAACTAATTGCGCCTTTTCTTCATTTATCATGTCCGTTATTTTCAAATTCCCAGAGAGTACAAGTGTTCCCCTTGTGTTTATTATACGTGTCTGGCACAACACAGCATTTCCCTGGTCCACGGTGATGACACGAATAGTGCCACCCCGATTGATGATTGCATTGCTATGACTTCGAGATCGAATACTGCCAACCCCCTCTGTTCCCGTACGAGCCAAAGTAATGGTGAGGTTCCCGTAGTTATGGAGGGCTCCCTCGCCTTCCAAGAACAGCTGCGGGACATCAATCACCATTTCACCGTAGTTACGTAATATAAATGAAAGAGTACAAAGTTTGCCAGACTGGGAGGTGATGATAGCGGTCTCTGTGCAGTTGATGTCTCCCTGACCCTCAATGCTCCCCCCGGACCATAAGAACGAAGAAACATTTAGAGACTCCTGACGCAACACAAGTCGTCCCGTCCGCTCAATCTGCAAACGACCGACACTAGGAGCATGAGGAAGGCCAGTTACCTCATCGAAAAGAATATTCTCGGATATTTTCTCAGTCACAGCATCGTCTCCCCCTTCCACCAATATTGTTGCCAAATTAATATACTGGGCAGACCCTTCACGACGGTAACAAACGTGGTAGAGACCTTCCTCCTTCAAGGTGCCAAAGAAAAAAGCTCGAGTACTACTAGAAAGAGAAAATTCTGGTAACATAATTTGGTCCACAGCGAATTCATTGCATGACTGTTCGGTAATCATGAGTACATCATGTTCAGAGAGATTGGTACCATAGACACGACCCGTAAACTCTGCACCAGGACGAATTTGCAGAGGCTCTGTTGAAACCCCTTCTGGGCCTGCAATATTTATTGACTCACCCATTTCTAGCATCACATGAGGCAATGTTTCTGGAAATGGCATATAGCAAAGTGTGACCAACCCGCCGCGATGTGCAATAAAACGAAATACCCGATGTTCATCATCCCATCCACTCCCGCTAATCAATGCACTAACGGCGTTGGTACACATGCAACCTTCCATGACCTTTATTCTTGGACCAAATCCCCCAACGTTACCCCTCACTAATGGTATCTCAATTATATTCCCGGTGATATATTGTGTTGGGGCCATCCGTGCAATCCTATCCGCATCTACCCGAAGTAAAGTTTTGGGAGTGATGGCAAACGCATCCCCCGGTTGGCAGTTCTTGCCCCCCTCGCCCTCACTAGACAAATTGAGTTCCTGAGCAATGCTCGGCGGTAAGCAAGGCACGACGAGCAGTAACTCCTCCACAACACAGTCCGGAAGCGGGTGGAAGGTAAGTCGTACAGTACATCCATTGTCCTCCACCTCAATGCAGCTTTGCTCCATCAACTGTGGGAGTTGCCGCAGCCACGAGTTGGAGTTGCCCTGCATCTCCCGCTTAATCCCTTCTTCATCCACCACATAGCTCACAGAGAGCATCTCCGTCAACAGACTCCGTAAAGGAGCCTTTTCGTACCCCTTAAACACCGGAGACACAGCCCGGACCACGAGTGTGGAACCACCCCTGCGCAGTGTTTCTTCAGCAAGGCCGCGGTAGACACTGCCCCTAAAGCGCACAACCGCACCTGACGCGCAAAGAAAATTGATAAAAAGAAGGACCACAAGCATGCTGAGACCAGCATGAGAGCAACAACAATGTGGCCTGGCCATGATCACCTAACCTCTTTTGTTACAAGTGGTAAGAAAAACAAACAAACAAACGAACAAATATATATATGCAGGATTTTGCACCCCCCAATTCCTCCCTTCCCTTTTTCTCTTTTATTATTCTTATTATCTTTATTTTTTAATTGTTCTTCGCTGTCGCTATTTTCTTTTGCCCCCCTCCTCCCTCAGAAACCAAAGTTACATGCAAGCCACTTCGCCGCTACCACCACCCACTTCCTTCTCCAACCCAAAAGAAAAAATTGTGTGCTCCAGCAGCCTCCACGCTTTGTTTGGAGTAAAACTACAACAGACAAAGAGGGACGCAAAAATGCAATAAAGAGACGGAAAGAAACACCGATGCAGCACACAACAGCCTCCTCAGGGTTGCTCGCTGACCGTTTCCCACTCATCAACGGAACACCGGTCACAAGAGAAGGATGAAAAAGGGTGGAATTGCAGGCAGCCTGAGGAGCAATACTGTTGTGTACCTCACCGACAAAAAGGCACTGTTGGAGAGGGGCGAAGAATATCATATAAAGAGTAGGAGGAAAAAAAAAGATATATAAAGGCGCCGCGGCGGCTCACACGTGCATTCCTCATCATCACAGAAAAGAAGGGGAGAAGGGAACGCATTATATAACGGGATCTGCTCCTGTTATATATACATTGCCGCCTTTTTTCTTTTTCTTTTTCTTTCCTTCGTTTAAACAACAACAGCAACAAAAAAAAAAAAAAAAAAGGAAAAAAAAAAAGAGGAAAAAGAACAATATAATAAGGAAAATTTCCTCTTAAAAAAAATATATATATATATATATATATATATATATATCGCAGGGGCAATTGGATCCCAATCGTGCCTTTAGTTCTCAAAAAAGGAAGCATGACTGCCGTAAAAGGATTTCTTAACGACGAAGTAACAATTTCAGAATTCGTGCAAATCCTCCTGTGTTTTCAAGCTCCTTTATTTGGGCCAACTGCGCCTGGTACTGCATAAGATCCATTGTCGCCAGACGCAGTGTTTCCTCAAGTGCCCTCTCTTTTTGACTCTTTTCGCGAGTGAGCCGCGACAAGGCCTCCGCAGCATAAATCTCCTTTTCTTCTGCCTCCTTGCAGCGCTCTTGAACGCTACGCATGACGACAATATCCATTTCACGCTCCTGGCGCATGGAAGAAAGCATCTTATTTAAACGTTGCTTTTCTTCCGCCAACATGGATAGTTTTTCCTCCAGATCACGCTGGGCTTCCGTTTGTTCTTCCATTTCACACTTTTCTCGCTCAATCAACTCCTTGTAGGAGTCGGGCAACTGACAACAAGGAGTGATACCCAAACGCTCCAACTGACTCTTAAGACGAATACACACTTTAGCCACAAATTGCATCTTAGATGCATTCTCAATAACAAGTTCATCCTTAAATATGAGCTCCCGATTCATTTCCTCAAGAACTGAGTCAATCTCCAAAGGATCCTTACCTTCCCTCTCCGCAAGGCGAACCACCATTTTCCGCTCACTGTCACGTACCGCTCGTAGTATGTTCATATAATCATCCATAGCAATACAATCTACCGGAGAAGGAATAGCCTGAGATTCTGGAAGAGGCAACCCCGCTTTCGCAATGGCCTGCCGAAGGTCGCTTATCACCTGTTGGTAATGCTCATCGTTAGACCGTGCAGTTGCCAACAAGTGTTGCTGACGCTCAATTGTCTCCATAAATTCGTCCACTTCCGCATCCTTTACTCTGAGTAGAACATCCACGTCCGCATTTGGAGCCGCATCGGGTGAAGGAGCGACAAGGGAAGGTATATTTGGTAGAACAGAGGACCCCAACATAATCGGAGGCACATATGGTTGCGGGGACTCCACGCCATGAGACTTCAGTTCTGCCTCCAACTTCTGAATGCGATTCAATAGAGCATTTTTTTCCTGTATGCTGAATGTCAGTTGGTCAGAAAGCTCTTTCACCGCTTTTTTTGAGGTCTCTCCGTTGAACGAGTGTGACAACGACCTGGTATCGTCAGACAAGAAATACTGACGTAGTTGGCTTGCACCACGCCCTGTGAGCGGGGGAGCACCGCCCGCAGGAAGAACACTGCGTGCCGTTGAGAGAGAATTACGCGCCGTGCCAAATATGCGTGCAGTAAGAGGGAGAGATTGCTGCGCGCGCTCTTCTTCCAGACGTTCCACTTCCCTCTTAAGTTCCACATTGTGCGCCTTCAATTCTTCCATCTCAGCCCGCATGGTCACACGAAGCGTCTCCATTTCGCTACTATCAATCATTTTGGCGCGTCTGTCTCGCAAATATTTTGTCAACTCGTCTGTTTCTCCAACGTTAAAACCTTTATTGGAAAGATCGGAACGAAGTTGCTCATTCTCATCATGTAATTTGTTGATTTCCTCCACACGTTCGGAGCAAATTCTCGAGAGTCGTTCAACCTCGGCGTATAACTGAACTTCCTTCTCACGGTGCCGTTCCACTTCAGCCTCCAGGCGTTGTTGGATTTCCTCAACTTGACCAACATCAAGAAATGTCTCCGGGAATACGGCCTCTTCAACAGGTGTGCCCCCCATCTCCCTGATTTGTTGTGTCAACACCTCAATGTGTTCATGAAGCCTGGCCGTGTCGTTGGCGCGACTTGCCAATAGGGAGTCCTTTTCAGCCAGTTGACGCAGCGCATTGACAATGTCGTCATGCTTTCCCTCACGCGCATTGTCAAGTTTTTTCTGGAAATCTTCAATGATGCGCTCTTGAGCCAACTTCATCTCGGCCCGCCGCTTCGCCTCTTGCTCCGCCTGCTCACGAACAAGTTTCGTAATCTCCTTCGAGTGTGCCTCCTCCTGATACTGAATCTCCTCATCCCGCTGCTCGTGAAGGTTCTCCACCTCCACCCTATACACCTCGCGCAGACCTTCAATCTTCTCCGGGGGCGCATTGCTTGCCATCAATCTCGCCATATCCCTCTCGTACCGTAAGTCAATTTCCGCTCGGTGTTTATTGTAACGCTCCATTAGCTCCGCTCTCTCGGCATCACGACCGGCGATTTGTATCTCCAGCAAGGCAATCCTCTCTTGCTTCTCATCCAGCAACATCTGCAGGTTGTGAGCCAACTTTTCATAGTTCACCACGACAGACTGCTTGGCTGAGACTTTCACCGCCATAGCGCGCAAACCAAACTGCAGTGAGTTGGTTGTCTCGTAAAAATGGTCGCTGCTCGGTCCAACTGTCAGAATGATTGAGGTGCGGCTTCTACCACCGATGGAGTCCTGCAAAATGCGGGTAAGTTTCGAGTTTCGCCACGGAATATGAGGGCCGGAAGAGGACAAGGCCGTGACAACGTGGCCAAGCGACAACAGGGAGGCGTTGATACATTTTGCCTCATCCTTCATGATGGGATTATCACTGGAGATGCCGGTCTTACTGAAGCGCTCGTAACCAGCCAGGTCAATGAATGTGATCTTGCCCCTCATCTTTCCCGCCGCCGGATCATCAAGTTTCTCGGAGAAAATGCGTATCATCAGCGCCGTGTGGCCGCGGCTTGACTCCGGGTTCATGGCTGTTGCTGTCACAACACGGCGCTCGTTTCCAACGTGATAAAACCGCATGAATTCCTGCGGACTGCGGAGGACATGAGAGGTGCAACCGGTAAGCTCCACGCCCTCGTTCTCATCAAATCGAACCTCCACTCGTTCTTTGCCGGAGCCCACCATCAAATCGCCGAGATGATCACGGTATATCTGCACAAACTGTCCAATAACTTCGTATTGACGCGTTGGATCCGCTTGTATCCTCTCAAATATGAGTCTCGCCGACCGAGGAATGATTCCTTCAAGGCCTGGGGTTGTATTGCACATTGTGAAGGACTTCCCAGTGCCTGTCTGGCCATAACACATTAGTGCTGAGCAAAAACCGTTGAACGCGTGATCAACGCACGGCACGGCGACATGGTCGAAGATCTGCTCCTGCGTACACTCATCATCAAATGACTTGTCAAAGTCGTATCGGCGCTCGCCCTTCAACACAATGCTGTTGCCCTCCACCGACACCAGCTTAAAGCTGCCCTCCTTAAAATCCGTTTTGTTCCCTGGACGCAATCTGCAGTAGACAAGGCACCGATTCACAGGCTGCGGCACATCGTTGGTAGACTTATTCAGTGCCTTTTTCTGATCCTTGAAGTTCTCCACCCTTTGCGCCGGGGTTAAATCCGCGGCCTCCTTGACAGCATTATCAGTCGGGGCCGCAACGACACCCTGATCGGCCATTCGTGGAGTTGAAAGCAAAAATAAACAAACAAGCAAAAAAAAAAAAAAAAAAAAACTGAAATCAAATTGTATTTTCTTATTCTTGCCTTTGACAAAATATTTCCCTCACGCTGACTTCTCTCTTCGATTGGTTGCGTGCGGTCTTCTGTACAAAAATTTTATAACTGCGTGTGTGTGTGTGTGTGTGTGAGTAAAAAAACACCAAACTAGACAACAAAAGCAACAGCACCAAAAAAAAAAGGGAAAAGTACTCCGCACCAGAAATCCACACAAACAAAACTCAAATGTGGAACTCCCCGAAGTAAACCAAAACCACATTTTTTTTCTCATTTTTTCTTTTTTATCATACCGGCTTCCAGCCGCGGTCTGAAGGGAACAACCCCCATCAAATCACCAACTCCCTCCCAATTCACGCCTGAGGCATCACATCATCATGGCATCTCTCATCGGTCTCATGCAATACTGCGCCGTCATTATCCGAAGACACAATATTCACCCCATTCAAAGCACGAGAGCGTTTCTGTCGTCCCGCATTGACCCGCCGTGTCGGCAGCACATCAAATGCACTACGCCACTCGCCACGGTCGGCATACCGACATAGCACCTCCACCACATGGTTCACCGTCAAGACTTTGCAGCGGTTACCCACCTCCATAGATTCCTCGAGTGGAAGGCGGGCCATACGCACACCATGACGCCTCGCCGCATCTCTGGTAAGAAATTTTCGTGCATTATGATCCACAAACGCGCCAACAACATACACTGTACCGGGATCAAGACGTTCCAAAACATTTTCGGTGTCGGCAGTCATGAAAATGACTTGCTCCTTCTTGTATATGGTGGACCAGTGTTCCTCGTGAATCGGGAAAGGATAGCGGCGAAACCCCTCAAAAGCACAAAGAGAGCGCAACAATTCGCTATGCGCACTCGTCTCAATGGTCTCTTTACCATTAATAGAAGTGATTACAGGACGCATCGGGAAGGCATGGCGCCGCAACGCACTGTAGCTAAACTTTATCTGCGACACCGTACTGCGGCAGTCGGCAGCTGACATGCACCATGCAAAACTAAGGTCAAACACCAAGACCGGGAGGGAGGTGTCAGCAAGATGCTGCACACACATAGCGTGCTCCTTCGCCTCCAAAGCACGTCGTCGCTCGTGAACTGCAATCGCCTCCGTACGCCGCCGCTCCCGCTCCTTGTCGTCAAGCTCCTCCCACTCCTTCTGTTGCAACGCACGTCGTTGTGCTGCTGCTTCTTTGCTTCGCCGCTTCCTTTCCACCTTTTTTGCTTGCCAGTAGGCTGACTGCTCCCCCGCCGTCCATATCTGTCTTTTTTTTCTTAGGGATGGCGGGTCCGCGGCGTCTCCCTTCTCGTCCTTGTTTCGCATTGCTAGCCGGAGAAAAAAAGAAACAAGGGCGTGTAGTTCCGCATGCCTCCCGCCGTGGACGCACACCGCTGCAGAGGACGGCAAAAAGTCATTGCCTTCAGGAAGAAGTGACAAAAGCGACAGCCACCGCGGCGGGTAAGAAAGAAGGGAGCGCACAAACAAACAGAGAACACCCCTGCCAGTCAAATAAAAACACAAAAAAACAAACAAAAACCAAAAAATAAAAAATAAAATTTGACGATAAGATTGTATCCATGCATCGTGTGCATGGTTTGAGGTGGCGCATGGCTTGTCCGAGCAACGACGTTGCCTTCCCCTAAATCTCCGCAACATCGCCTTCATTGCGACCCGAAGGCCCCTCAAAATCCCTTATTCGCATCATTGCACGTTGGGCGATGGCCTTCAGCTGCTCATGTTGCTCCGCCATGGAAGACACCGTTCGGGTCGCCTTTTCCCTCAACATAACCAATCGGGAAGCCTCAAGGTGAAGTCGCCATTTACCCCAGTACCTCAGCATGATAAAAAAACTGCTTTCCATAACAGAGCGCTCATATGCCCCGCACATTTTATCGGAGGCACAATTCATTAAGCAGAAGTTTTCTTCAAGGAAAATGTTAATTTTGTCTGTCATGGCTGTGGTATAAATTTCGTACAGTACGAACATATAGGGAAGCATCTGTTGCTGAAGCAAACCTGATAGAGTGGAGACTTTTGCTCCCCATTCCTCCATCTGCTGCTCTACCAGAAACGCTCTGCGACGCCACACCCCCACCCCTTGGCGATGCAAAGAGAGAAGTGTTGCAATAATAGCACTCGCCTCCGATCCGTCTTGGAGCGAATGAAGACTCTCAACAGCACTCGAGAGAGCCTCCTCCGCATCTTCTACTTCTGCTTTCCTTTCCTTCTTATCGATTATGCTTACACCGCTTGAAATTGGTTCCTCTTGCGCCAAACAAGGATCGGCCGTACCTTGGGAGATCACGGGGTTTGAGTTTTTCTTTGCTAGAGATAAAGAATCTAAATCACTCGTGCAAACATGCAGATTTGAGCGGGACGACTGTTTGGTCGTATCATATATTTTCTCCAGTGGCTCCAGTGCCAGATGCTGCTCGAGAGCCTTAACCACTTTAGACACCTCACGCCCTTCATTTTTCTGTGCATTTTCCTCTTCTTCAGTCTCTTGTTTTTGTTCTTCCGATGCGGTTTCCGTCGCCTTTAGCTCCGCATTCGGTTCTTCGACGATTTCCACTTCTCTTCGTATCCCCGTCTCTTCTTCCTCCTCTTTATCCATCAACGAAATATCCTTGTCGTCTCCTTCCAGGGCTTCACTTGTTAAGGATGTAATTGCTTGACTGGAGAAGTGCCGTATCTTACCCATCTGCGGTGCAGTAATCTTCTTTTTAAGCACAAACGCCATCCAATTAACGAGCAAACTTTTCATGTTCATCCACACCTCGCTGTTTGCAAGGCGAATTTGGAAAAGACTCACCAGAGACTCATACTTCTCCGAATGGCGAAGTTCTGTCCCTGCGTCCTTCTCGCACAGTTCAGGAGACAGCTCCGGAGTGTGCACTGAACCTTCGCTCATACTTTGAGAAGAGGAAACTTTTTTCTCTACACATTTTCCGAGCTCTTCATTTCGAGAAAACAATTCCTTGAGTGCCCGCAGATACACATCCCGCTCCTTAGAGAGTTCACTGGCCCGAATCTCCGCCCGACACTGTGACTCCAACGCACTAAGGCTTCCCCGCTCCGCCCGTTCTAACCGCGCCTCGTAGGCGTAAAGCACGGCATCCTTTTCACTCATTATCTTTTCCCGACGCAAGAGTTCTGCCGTCAGCAGTGTGACTCTGTCAAGCAACGGGGCACCCGTGTCTTCCGCCTTGCTGAGTTCGCACAACTTCTGCTGGAGCTCCTCAAGGCTCTTGTCTCGAAGCCTCACTTCGTGAAGAAGTTGAGTGTTGCTTCTTGCCAAGCCATCCAGTTTGGTACGCCACTCGCTCTTTACGATCCACAGAGCTTCTTTTTTGGCCTTTTCTCTAATCTCTTCCACTTCAGCAGCTTTTACTTGAAGTTCCTCTCGTAGCAGTTCAGCCTCCGCATTCGAGCTCTGGACCGCTCGGTGCATTTCCTCCAGAGCATCCAGGTGGTTTTCGCGCTCTTTTAGCAACACCCTCACCTGTCGCTCCAACGCCCTCGTCTTTTTTTCCATTTCCCCGAGGCCCTTGGATTGCTCACGCGCATGCTCGCTCTCAAGGTTAAAGCGCACACTCGAGCGTGGGCTCCCATGGGGTGCCGCAACATCCATTGTCCCCTTCCCACCGAATTTCTACTCAATTCTTCAAAAAATAAAATAAAATACACTTAAAGTGGTTTCAAAAAGCGACCGGCCAAAGACTCGATGGCGCCAAAAGAAACAAGTAGTTCCGCAAAAAAAAAAAAAAAAAAAAAAAAAAACAGACAATCCTCCCCTCCCCCAAAATAATAATAATAATCAAAGAATCCTAATGCTGCGTCAAATTGATATGTACTCCATGTCCGGTCGAATGGTTGTCACCCCAACACAATGAACCCCCTGGTCTGATGGCTGTGTAAGAATGGCACGTCCAGCTACACCCACAGCATTTGCTGCCTGAATCATTGCCTCAGCAACACTCTCAGCAATGCGCTCGCCTCTCGGCTGAGTCAAGGGATCGCCGTGTCGGCCACCTACAAGTGCACACACTGAGGGTCCAGCACCTGAAAGAAAGGCGTAGTGGGCTCCAGCAGCCATGGCGGCATCGACACAAGGACGAAAATGAGGGAAAAGGGCATCAGCCCGTTGCTTTTGGTGCAGTTTGTCATCACAAGATTTGAGCAAGCGAAGATCCCCGGTACAGAGCGCCAGTACAAGAATGGAGGAACGGGAAATATTAAAAACGGTATCTTCGAGCGAAACACTGCTTGGAATTAGATTACGAGTTGCGTGCGTATTTAACTTCATTTTATTCTTCGGGACAAATAAAACAACCAAAAGAGACGCGGGTGTGGGAACCCGATAAGTTAAAAACCGACCATTATTGTCTTTGTAACCCAGTTGAATACCCCCATAAATTGCGGGGGCTGCATTGTCAGGATGGCCTTCAAATCTGGCAATCACCTGCAGAAGAGCTTCTTCCTCTTCGGTTTTCATTGTGAGGCCGCAGAGTTTCATCCCGGCAACAAATCCTGCCACAGCAGCGGCAGAAGAAGAGCCACACCCACACCCAAAAGGAATATTGCTTTTCATGGTGAACTTCAGTGGGGGCATCGCCTTCTTTGCAAACTCAGTAAAGGCAAGTTCGCACGCCTTCACCATCAGATTTTCGCGGTCGGCGCTTATGTGCTCACTTCCATCGCCTTCGAGATGCACCGAGAATTCATCGGCGTGCTCCACCGTCACCTCCATGAAGATGGAGAGAGCCATGCCAAGAACATCGTAGGCTGGGCCCAAATTCGCCGTCGTTGCAGGGACGCGAAGAACAACCTTCTTTGGAGGATCCGACATTACCCCCGTTGCTGGTGATCCCAATTTTACTGCTCCTATGCTTTTCAAATGCTGTTGGTATATTCGCACTGTCGTAAAGAAAGTACAAAAAAGTAAAAAAAAAAAAAAAACAAGTTTGTGTAAGAGCGCGGTTATTTCGACAAAAATACAACAAAAAATTAATAATAACAATAATAATAACAAAAACAATAATTTTATTATTATTATTATTATTACCACTTCTTTTGCTCATAGACCATGCGCATGAAAAATTACACACACACACACACACACAGAAAAGAAAAAAACCTTTAGGACAGACATCTGCGTGATCAGAGACGCATAAACAGAGAGATAGATGCAGGCACACACATGCAGCAATAGAAATATGTTCGGTACCCGTGTGTGTGTATGGAGAGAGAAAGAATAAAAGCAAAAAGGAAACCCAATGAAAGAAAAAAAAAAAAAGAAAAAAGGGACGGGAAAAGCCTTTCCCCTTTTTTCCCCTCTCTCATTATTCCTCTCCCTATTTTGTCTGTCAACAGTTAGAAGTGTTGTTATTGCGGCGTTATTTAATTTTTCTTTTTTTCCCCCCATCTTAAAAAGTTAATGAAAAATTATTGACGTGGCAAAGTAAAAAGAAAGAAAAAAAAAACCGCAGATGTTTTCCGCGGCTTTTTTAAATTTATTATTGCTGCTCGTTGACACCTTCTTTTTTTTTCCTTTTGTGTGTGTGTGTATGCATGCATGCATGTGCCTGTTTTCACTATATATTTTATATATATTTAGTTTTCCACACATTTCCTTTTTGTTGTTGTGCCGTCGCCTTCTCTGTTCTTTTTTTTTTTTTTTTAAATTTCTTCCTTTTTTTTCTGAATTTAAATAATCCTGAAATAAATTTTTTGGTGCCCCATCCATTCTTTTTTTGTTTTCTCCCGGCTGGTTAAAAGGGGCCTTCACTCTTCGTTGAAATGTTGATCCTTTTTTTTTTTCTTTTTTTTTTAAATATTTCTTTTTTTTTTTTCCTTTTTTTTCAAGTGGGGGGCGGGGCGGGGGGTGTTTTTTCTCATGTCGCTTCGCTACTTCCCTCTTTTTTTTCTCCGGTGTTGCCGCGCTTCCCGCCCTCCCTTCGCCCGGGGAATTACGTGCCGTCATTTGTTACTTCTCCATTTTCACACGCACACACACGCCCTCGCTGTTGGATGATAAAAAAACATCTCCGACAACTACTCGCGGGAGGCTGTTTGTTAAGGCGGTTTAAAAAAGAAGGTACAATACATTCGGTTGTTCACGCCACACGCCGGAGACGTTCCCCTCTTCTTCTTCTTCTTGTTGTTGTCGCTTTTTCTTTTCTGCCATTCAAAAAAACAATAAGGGGAAACGTCGGAAACCCCAACAGCCGCAAACTTTCAGGTGTAAACGGTCAAGCACGCGCCCTCAGTCAGTGAGTCCTATTTTCGTTGTTCTCTCCTTGCTGCCTCGTCCTCTGGCGGTAGATGCTCACACGAGTCTTGCGGGCCCCGACTGTCGGTGGATTGGCCTTAATTATGTCCATAACCTTTTCTTTATCCGAAAAGTCAAGGAAGACGTGGCCATTGGCAGAGTTGTTGCGAAGGGAGACAATGTTAGCTGCCAGTGGACCAAAGGCCGCCTTAATCTCCTCATCTGAAACCTCATAATCAATGTTGAACATGAGGCGATCACCAATAGAAACAGCAGGGGAGCGAGGAAACTTGGCAGGGGGCTTTGTGGCCCCTGCACCTCCCGCAGATGATGATGTATGCCGTTGCTCTGTCTGGGTCGGCTTTGCCGGGGCATGGACCTCAGTGGCATCGGCATTCACGCCATTCTCGGGGATAATCACTCTCAGTGGCTGGCGCTGCTCCCCCTTCGGCTGAGCGCTGGCAAGGCTAGCCCATGTCTTTGGCTTCGATGGCACCGGTGGCTGTTGTCGCTGCACGGTAGCTGCGGTCTCTGGCTCAACGGCAGCTGTCTTATCTGGCGCTGCTGCAGCTGCAGCTGCCTGAAGACCAACAACGGTAGTATTCTTCTTCTGTTGCTGCTGTTCTTTCCTTTCTTCGTCTGTCGCTGACCGGGATGTGAGTAATGCTGAACTTTCCACTGCCTCGGGAGAAACTTCTAATTTTGGCTCTTGGTCGGGCGTGACCTCTGGCTCCGGCTGTTCCGTCTCAGCGGATCCAGGGCGTATCAGAATCTGGTGACGGATAAAGTACGCCTCCGAGCCGTAGGCCCCCGCGCCGTATGCCTCAAGAATGTTGACAAACTGAAAGTAGTGACGTGTCGTCTTAGACTCAGCGAACATTGTCACGTACACGCTCACTCCACCGTACAAGGGGACGGCGGAGTAGCTCTCCACGCAGAGCTCGCACCCCTGAAGAATCTGAGCCCATTGCTCTACAGCCCGAGGGACGTCCTCGTTTCGGACTTCTGTTGTGCCGTATACAAAGTCTACGATTGTTAAGGACGAGTTCGGGCCGTACATTTCCGCGAGCTCCGCGGGGTTGGACGCGAGGCGTTCAAAGAACGCGGGGATGAATTGACAGGCAACCTCTTGAGACGTTAGCATGACTTCGGGTTGTTGCTTGGCGAGGAGATTAGCGTACCTACACTTCCGGCGCCACAAGAAAAAACAAGAAGAAAAAATAAAAAGGACACATCCATACGCACGTGATTAATGTGCTCAAATAGCAGCCACAAAGCCGATAAAAAGATCGTTGTGAAAGGAGTCGGTTGATACAGAACTCGGCATCAAGGAACAACTGAAAACAACAACAAAATTTGTAATTTGGGCGCTGCCACTTGATACCAAACCAACACCACTAGACCGCTTTCAAGTCATCGCAGGGAATTGCCCACTTTTTGAAGGTCGCCACACACAATGAAACAGTTCGAGAGTCAACGGGTGATTCGGTCGCCTTCAACGCAGCGATGAGTCGCCGGACACTGTCAACATCAACAACGAGACAGAGCAAACGCATAAGACGTATGGACAGTTTGCTTTCGATGGAGATAGACCTTTTCTCATGGTACCCAACCATCTGCATCGCGGTAAAAACATCCTGTGCGTCAATTGCCAGCTCAAGTGCCCCACGAAGAAAATCACTTGAAACCTCAATTCCTAAATCAGACATCTCCGCCAAAACTTCTGGTATTCGCGCCGTTGAACTCGCTGCGTCAGGCATGGAGAGAAGTAGAAGCAAAAACGTGCGCGATGTCCTCACCGCCCCAAGACTTTCAAAGGCGGCAAAAACCATGGCTGCTTTTCCCTCGTCCTTCAGCAAAGCGGCAGCTTCCATGAGAACATTAAGGGACTTATGGCTCACCTCACCCCCAGCTTCTCGCCGCTCCTCCAGAATAGCCAGCCCTTTCTCTACACTTGCTTCACCAAATGCAACAAGGCGCGCAAGTGTCATGATTGGATCTGCGTTGAGAAGCGTCACTTTTCTGGACTCCAAAAAGAACTTTGGCCGAGGACCCGGTTGACAATGTGTCTCAGGCACCTCATCTTCCAGCACTGTCAACGCCTCCTTCAGCATCGCACCCCGCGATGCAGCCTCTAGGAACAGCAAGGATACAGCCGGTTGACTTGTTGGGGATATTATGCCTGGGTGCTTGCGGAGGTATTCTCGAACGGAGACAGCCGATGCCACGTCTCCCCATTTGGCACACTTGGCCAGGAGTTTCAGTGCTGTGAGTTCGTTGTTTAACACAGGGTCAGTTGAGCCCACATTCGTCCTTTCTGTTTCTGCATCTTCCGAAACCACTCGTAGTGAAGCGCCCTC